AGCAAGCGCCTTGGTTGAGAGCTTTGGAACATACCCCGTAGTACGTTCTACCTTTTCCCATAAAGTCTTAATCTGATCTCGCCGGACTTGGAGAGTGAACAGTGACACGTCACTGTCCGCTGCGTCATTGATCTTCACTTCAAACTTCAAACGATGTCGTTCAGTGCCATTTCGCTTGACTTCCGCATAATAACTCTTGTTGTGCTGGTACCCTCGACCTTGAGTTTCCCAAAAACCGCTCTAGGTGAGGTTAAAGGTCGCTTTGACTCCTTGTCGGACGGTGCTATGACTCGTCTTTTTGTCTGTTTTGATCAGCACCGATTGGCATACTAGGCTCTTCACAGAGCTGAAAATTGTAATAATCGGGTGAGATGTTATCAAATACAAATAATTTGAATCAGCCGAGCGAAAACGGAATGAAATAGCACAGAAACGATGGAATCGAGATAATAGAATAAAATGGAATGACCGAAATGGTGTGCGCTATTGAGTCCAACGAAATCGGAAAATTTTGATAAATTAATTATTTTACTAATAATTTACTAAATTGATGCTTATTTAGTTTCTTTACTTGAGAACAAAATCTAATTATTTCATTATTGAAACCCCAAAGAAAAAAGGTTAATTTTCTTTTGACAGGGCGGCCGTGTTCTGGAAACGGATCTTGCAAAAAATGTATGCCTATTGATTATTATTGGTTGAGCTCAGAAAGAAACATGTTTATTCTAAACGCAGCTCAATTGAAAGTTTTTAACATATAATTATTTTAAATAATTTGTTATTTAAGAAAAATCGCACGTATATTTGATTTATTACGCAAACGCCGCTGAGTGGAAACTTCTTATCTCATAATTATTATTTATAAATTTTTATAAGAATAAAGAAAATATAATGCATATGTTTGTATTTTATTAAGTAAACGCAGCTCAATGGCAAAGTGGAAACATACAAAAATATAAAAGTGGCTCAGACTCAGTTTATCGAAAACCGATCTTTACAACCCTTTGTTTAGTTTTTGCACTTGGCAATTACTTTGTAAATAAAATATATATAAATTGTTCTTGAAGCTGCTGTGGAGAAAAATAACAAACGACTCACATATAATGTGATGTGTGTCTGTGTGTATGTACATGCAGGTGAATTTAAACAGTGTTTCGGTTTTAATTAACTTAATACAAATCGGAATTGTGTGTTTTTTATTTAGGTATGTGATTATTTGGTGAAGTATAGAATGGAGAAGCGCATACACTTATTGTTCAACGGAGCGAAAGCCTATGTGTGCAAATATGTCTTGATGTACTTGCATCAATATGGCGATCGGTTAAATTTTTAGGTATGCACTTGTACTTATATATACATATGTACAGACACCAATATGGCGACTTTCTTTTTAAGTCACTTTCTGTTTTATTTCTTTTAATATTTGTCACTTTTTTATGGTCCACGAACAATATTTTATTTGAGTGTTTTTTTGTTTGTTTGAATGAAAATGCCCCTCGCTTTTACCACGGACAATGTGAAGCGAAAAAATAAATCGGATTGGAGTTGCCGGAATTTTGGCAATGGACAAGTTGAGGTAGGTGCACTGCTACTTATCTTGCTTGAGTTTGTAGCTGTTCCTGGAAACTTCTATTGCAGATCCACCGATGCTTGCTGGGGCGAACTTGATATAAAAGCTGTTGTAAGAGATCCGGCTCGAAGGACCAAATGTTGTAGTAGGGCGTCCGCAGGGCTTCCAGGTAAACTTGGTCGAATAGTTGGAAGAGCGTTTCTGCTCTGCACAATAAATATATTCGAGGTTTAAAAAAAACACGTTTGTTCGCTCATAGGTTATTTTTCGTTTGTCTGTATTTTCAGAATATATATTACATTGTTAGTGTAAGTGTGGTGAATTTCATTTTCCTTGTTTCAATACCGGAGTTACATGGGCACTTGGATGGCGACGGCTAGATACACTTCTTGTGTGAACAATAAGTATAACTGATATATCATCTCGCACGAAATAAAATACATCCACAATCCTAATATAATTGTCCAAATATATTTAAGAAAAAACAAACACACCTTTTTTTCTAAATTGTAACATTTAATCAAATTAAAAACAAACATAAGTGTAATTTAACAACTAGCATAGTGCAAATAAACATGTTTGTGCAACGACATAGTATATAGTATATATGTATATCCATTACAAAATTCACAAATAAAATGTACTATGTTTGTCCACATAGAACATTTTAGTGCACAATATACAACAAAATAAATATCACAGCACAAATCACAATAATAAAAACATTGCAATCACAACCGGCACATGTGCGTATCGTATATACATACATACACACAAGTAAAAATAAATAGCTGCCGATCACAGTCCCATATAATTATTCTTGTTCCGATACGCAACCAACAAAAACACAAAATTAAAATAATAATAAGAGTCCTACTTATTTATTATAAGTGGGTACTAAGCCACAAAATAAATTATCCGTTACTATACTCAATGAGCTCGTAATACAAAAATAAAATTATCGAAAAAGATTCTGAAAATGTGGGGGTTGTTCTTCCTTCTTTTCTCCACAATTCCGTGAGGGTTTGAAATAGTAAATTATCACAGCTAGTAAAAACACAATGTTTTCGTTTAATCTGCTCCACTGGTTTGTTTCGACTGCTCTTAAGAAAAAGACTACAAATATAGCGTCAGGGCTTTTTTCTTAGGCTACATAACTTAGCTGCATTGAGGCAGCCACAAAACTGCAGGGCAGCGGTCTTGTTGAATAGCAGCATACTTTGCGGCATGAACATCCCGCCCCCTTGCAAAACTATTGGAGGTCCGTGGAAAGGAGGGGGGTCAGGTGTCATGCCGGGTGTCACTGGCTGCAGGTTCCGGAGAGGACCCAACCGAACATTGTGTTTTGCACCACCAGCAGACCGTCTTGGCTGGGTACCTGACCCGGGCGGATTATTTGCGGATATAGGCAAGCACCGAGCACCAAGGAGACGGTGCCGGGCCGATGGAAGTTGGCATCCGCCGAGACAATATTCTGCAGTTTTTTCTGGATGGACTCCTCTATTGGTTTTATAGGGGTCCGAATCTGAAGTTGATTCTCCGTCTGGAGAATAACTTCCATGTTCGAGTTTGGTACTCAATGCGTTGAGTATGCGCAACTAGCCGTTCTTGAGCTTCGGATAGAAATTGAATATCAGGTTTCTAAGTGAGGAATTCGGAGAAGCGATCTAGTATGTGAGATTTTGATTGACATGGTCGCGATTGTAGCCATTCCTGTCCATGCCACCACAGATCATTGGCCACGAGGTCGCATGATGGTCTAGCCAAATCAGCGGGATTGCATTTGGAACGAACGTTAAACCATTTGCTGGAGTTGGTGGATTGTGCAATCTTGGTGACTCTATTAGCCACGAAAGTCGTCCATTTGCATGGTGCCTTGCTAAGCCAGGCTAGCACTATTGTTGAGTCGGTCCAACAGAAAAGGTCCTGTCTTTCGACAGACAGCTGTGGTAGGAGTGCTGCGGACAGCTCCGCAAGCAGGACAGCGCCACACAACTCTAAACGAGGGAGGGATATGGTCCGCACCGGAGCGACCCTGGTTTTCGCTGTCAGCAGGTGGACTGAAACTTCATGCGCAGTTTCCATCCGGGTGCATATTGCTGCTCCGTAAGTGCTCTGAGACGCATTGCAAAAACCATGGAACTGCATCTTTGCCTTAGGGGAAGCTTGATCTAGGGATGCGTATCTTATTGAGATTTGCGTAACCTTCGAGGAATTCTTGCCATCTTTGTAGGAGTTGGCTTGGCAAGGATTGGTCGCAACGCAGAAAGGAGTTAACCATCCCGCTGGATCGAACAGCTTGGCGATTTGTGAAAGCACCTCACGTTTTGAGTAGGATTGCTTAACTTTGATGTCGGAGGGGGCGAAAAGTAACTCATCGGTGTCTGCTTTATACCGAGAGTCTTCGCAATCACAGAGCTCACCCCTACTGTTCCGTTAGAGGATTCTTTGAAATGGGATGTGGTTTGGGGCAACGCGGATTGCCGATACATTTTGGTAATATCGGCGTTGAACACATTGCGGAAAAAACGCCATTTCAAGATCTGGATGGTTAGATCAGATTGCAGAACAGTGTGTTCTTGTTTTTGTCACCAAAAGTCATCTGCAGAAACAGGGGGCACAAGCGCACTGGATGGTTCTCCTTTGAGCAAAGTTTGCAAGATTGAGTCTTAACTCTCACCTTGGCTTCAAAGGAGTTACTTTTTTTGTCGGAGGTTCCTCTCGAGCTTGTCTGGCAAGCGGCAGTATACAGATGACCAAAGTATATGAAACATTGAGTTTGAATAGGAGGATTTCGAAGGGGGCACCTCTAGCTATGCTCTGACTAGCTCGCCAGATTTTCGGGGTGCTTCTCTACTCTCCTCGTTATTCTAGGCACACATTCGCATAATGTTTTAGGTGCACTTATTTATTAATAAAAAAATTAAAGAAATTAACGAAGGTTCAGAATGAAAGCAACGTTATACGGGCGTAACTAGATGACAAATATATCCCGACGAATAATATTATATTCCAACAACACACGATAAGTGAAAGAATCAGTTCGTTTCGATTCCCTCATTTCTATACCCACCCTACCTATGTCCCCCTGACATTACGTCAGCAGTGACCCTACGTTCTGCTCAGTTTATGATGGCATGGTCTTAGACCATTAGAACATTATTTAAATTTAACTATTTAATAAATCCGGTATGATCCCCTGATTTCGTACATTTTTCTTAATTAATAAAAGTTAGGATGTGAATGAATGGCGATATAAATATATGTATATAACGATAAAAATGGGAATGATTTATATAGGATTATTTAGACAGAGGCCACAGAATGGCTTTTTGATTTAGAGTATAAAATCTTATCGGCGAGCATGGATATATTTACGTTGTTTATATTTAAAGTACTTTACCACAGTTGTGTAGGCGCGTATTAGTATATAATAAAATGTTCCGTATCGTTGAGCTCAAGGATGACGGTGGTACGTTGCTACTCATATTGTTGTTGAAAAATCTGTGGAAATGCAGAGACGTTAAATATACACCATGCCGACTGAGAATATTTCAATTGAAATTCATTTGTTTTTACTCTTTTTCTGATACCCTCTCTATGTCAATCTGTTGCGATATTAATTTAATAGTTTTTAGGGAAACATAGAAATAAACACCGACAATAAAGCATGGACTTAATTAGATTTACACAACAACAGTTCCAAAGTCTTCGAATACCAGATAAATGCCATAATTATGTAGGAGTTACGAAAAATATCTTTCTCAATTATTGGAATTCGATTAATTGGAAAGTTTCGAAACCGCTTTGATATAGTTGTCCACATTTAATTAACATTGATGAAAGTTATAAACGACACAGCCAGTGGACCACTACGCGAATCGATTCACGTTAAAACATGGAATTTTGTTGAGTTAGTTCCTTTCATATCGTGAGGCTTAAGTTGGCTGTTCCTTTGCTTTTCTTTTCTTGGTGAGGTTAAGGATATCCCGGACTGGGATAACCGGAGAACTTCCCGGTGCACCTGCCGAAGTCCGTAACTCTTCTTCGGGTAGTTTAAATCCCGTCTGTTCCAACCACCAACCGGGTGACTTCCGGTCTTTGTACCCGCTGCACCCGCAATTGATAAAAATCCAATTTCTTCACAGCGTATCCTATGGAACCAGAACTAATTATAATTGAGGCACTACTATGGATGATAATCATTCTTTTTATATCTTTATCGCTATAGAGCATAATTGCACGAGTGATAAGCACTCAGCCTAATCTGAACTACTGAACTCCTTTCTGCTATTTAAGAGAGCTTCCAGTTTAAGAACCATATGTTCAAGAGTACCTTTGTGTTATATTTTTGCGCACTACCTAAAAACTGTCCACTACAACACAGTTAACTGAAAACAGGCAGTTTTCTAAGATTTGATTTGTATGTCTTTAAGATGAAACACCTCTAAGACCTTTCCTTGTTCATTTGACAACTGATAATATGACGAACCAACTTTTCGAGGTACCAGAGCAGGTACAAAAACTGGAGCTAGCTTCGCTCTACATTTTTTTAGCAGCATTACTCTGGAAAAAGTTACGTGCGAATACATTATCTCCGATTTAAAGCTGTACATCCTGACTACGCAAATTGTACCTGTTAGCATTTTTTTGATGCGACTCGGCCTTCTTTCGCAGTGCCAATTTGCGAATAGTTTAAATAACATTGGGATGCCCGATTCTAGAATCTTCATTAATTAATTGTAAACGACGTAGTAACTCGTAATCTTTGCCATTGTCCAATTCACTACAAGATTTGTTCTCAGTTAATAAATAATTAAATAATCCAAAATTTCTCCAAAAATCAATTCCTAAGTATACATCTTGCTTTAACTCGGGTATTATAAAGAATTCGACTTCTTTACAGTGGCCACGAAATGTTATCGGTACCTTGAGCTTTGATACCTTCTATCGTTAAGTCAGTGTAAAGGCGGTTGTCAGTGCTCATAACCACTGCTGAAATTAGCCTTTTCCGAACATTTTTAACCTTCTTCCAAAACTCTCTCAATCTTAATGTGGAGCGTTTTAAAGTTGATGTCAAACTGTACCGGCTACATCTTATTCCTTGAGTTTCTGTTAAAGCGATCATTTTTACAGCGTCGTCTCAAAATTCTGGTTCTTTGTAAATCTGGTTTACTGGAGTTGACAAATTTAGGATTGAGTAACTTGTTTGTTTTGAGAGGTTACTCGAACTTTTTGGTAGTTGCTTGCGCATCCCCTTTCGGGTTTTCCGTCGGGTTACACTTGCTGCACCTGGGCTTATATGTGTTTTTAGCCCCACACCCATAACAAACTTTCCGTCTTTCCGCCATACAATCCTGAAATCGACGACCCTTTTTGTCACAGTTCCAGCAAACGAATCTATTATGACGTATCTCTGTGATATTTTCGTTTTCCTGTTCGCTTACTATTTCAGCTACATTTGGCCTTCCGAATTTAGAACGTTGAAC